ATTTATTTTTTTCCAAAGACATCCTCTTCTTTTCCAGGATAATTTTCTGTTGTTGTTCTCTGAGTCTACACCAGTTGAAAAAATTCTCTTCTATCACTGATTATGTTCAAGGACTAAAATAATCTGGCCAGTGGGATTGGAGAAGAAGGAGAAGGAATTAAGTGTGAGATGAATTTGAACCAGGGCCAGTAGTTGCAGGACTCTGCAAGGCCTTATGAATTGCAGAAAAGCTTTTTTGTCTTTTTGAGTGACAAATGGAAAGCCATGGGGGCCATTTTAAGATGAAAATCTACCATCACTGTATTCAGGAATTTTCTTATGAGAGTAGTTGGTAGAATCTTAGAATCTTTGCAGAGTTCATTTGTAAACAGATTCAAAGTATACTGAGGAGGTAAAACTGAGAGGCCTTGAAATTAGAGTGAAGAGGAAAAATGAGAAGATGAGGATGAAAGATGATTCCTAGATTTATATACTTTAAACCTAGGTTATTAGTACCTAAACCTAGCACCTGACATTTATACAAAAAATACTGGAAGAACTTAGGGTTTTAAGGATGATATCATGGATTTTTTTTTATAGGATTTGTTCAATTAGAGGCACTATGGAATGTCCAAGAGGATGTGTTAAGTACACATCTGACTGCATAGACAGAGGTCTAGGGTGGAGAGATCAATCTGTGAGTCCTCTTATTACAGGAAGAACTGACATGTGTTATGAGGTTGTCGTGGAGGCAATATATTTGAAAAGAAGAATACTTCAACTTGCCTTTAGAAATTCTAATATGTAATAATTAAAAAGAATAGGTTGAGTATGGAAAAGAGTCACCAGAGAGATCAGAGGAAAACTAGGAGAGCACTGTGTTATGGTAGCCAAGGCCTTAGAGGAGCTCTGTCTCAGTTTATTCAGGTTGCTATGACAAAACACTATGAACCAGGCAGCTTACACACGATGAGAATTTATTTCTCACCTTCTAAAAGCTGGAAAGTCCAAGATCAAGGTTGTGTCTGATTTGGTGTCTTGGTAAAGGCCAATTCATGGTTCATAGGTGGTGACTTGTAGGTGTTTATGCAAATGGTGGAAGGTACGAGGAAGCTCTCTGGGGCTGCTTTTGTAAGGATGCCAATTTTACTCATGAAAGGGCTGCCCTAATGATCTACTTATATCTCCAAGTCCCACTCCTAATAAATAACATCACTTTGGTAATTAGGCCTCAACATATGTATTTTGGAGGGGTAGAAACATTCACACCATGTCACTTTTAAGGAGGAATGTATCAAAAGTATAATTCCTGCTTGAAGAATTCAGAAAATGGTAAGCAGAATGCCAAGATGGCCTCATGATCATCATTCCACCCTGTTTTAGTCATGTAGAATCCCTGCTCCTTGTATGTAGACAGAAACTGGGATTTTTTACTAGCCAACAGAAATGGCGATATGGTAAAGGCAATGGTGTAACTGTGGTCCCAAATCAGTTGATTTTTAATTCATCAGAATTGAGGTTATCTTGAGTGGTTCTGGATGAATCAGGTAAAAGCACTTAAAAGAAGGTCAAGAATTTCTTCTCAAGAACAGAGAGAGAGAGAGAGAGAGAGAGAGAGAGAGAGAGAGAGAGAGAGAGAGAGAGGGAAGAGAGAGAAAGCAGCCATATTTAGAATGTCCATCAACAAGGAACTATGGAAGGTCTCTAGAACTTACAGCAACCTTACAGCATAAGGAGGGGAGAGTTAGTCATCCAACTACCAAGAAATACACTCTGCTAACAGCTTGAGTGCAATTAGAAATGGATTCTTTCCCAACTGAGCTTCTGATGAGACTCCAACCTGGTAAGATCCTGAAGCAGAGATCTGTGCCTGGACTCCTAACCCAAAGAAACTGTGAGATAATAAATGTTGTTGTTGTTTTTATAAATCCACTAAAGCTTAATGTAATTTGTTACATAATAATAGAAAACCATTACAGCAACATAAAGAGATTATTGGTGATCTGAATGAAAGCTGTTTCAGTAGAGTGACAGAGTAGGAGCCAGATTGGACCTGTTTGATGGAATGAATGGAAACTAAGTAAATGGAGCGTGTATAGACAGCTCTTTTGGGAGATTTGCCTGGGAATAGAACAATAATGTATGACTTTAGCTGAATAAGGTTGAGGGAAATTTTTTTTATTTTGTTTTTTAATAGGAAATAACTCAAGCATGCTTAAAATTCAGTTTTTTTTTTCCACAAGAATTGATTTATTTTTACTGGAAGTTTACTTGGCTATGCCAGATACACCATAACTGGATGAAATTAACATTAAATAAACATCTAAGAGCTATATTTGCTGTTGATATAGCTAATCTTAGAAAATAAAATGTTTATTTTAAGATTAAAAATATTGTGAATGAGTTCAAAATAAAAAGAAAACAGTATGAACTATGCTCTTTAGAAAAACCTTCCTGCATGAAACCTCTCTAAATGAGAAAGGGCTCCCTTCAATCTCAGGAATCCTATAAACTGATCACAGTTCCACAAACTCTTTAGATTCTTAGCAAAAGGAAGTCACTGCCATTTGACTTTCTATAATTTTCCAAGGCAGTGGTTTTCCTTGGGAGTTAAGCTAAAAGCCTTGTGTAAAATCCTACATTGAATCTGTAGAATCACAGGGAAATAACTCCATCATGTGTTAGATAAATTACCACCAAATATTGATTACAATCTAACACAGCCACAAGAAAGCTGGATTTATGGCATTTGTTTACAACCTGTACCTTGTCATACTTTTTAAAAAATAAATAGGATGACAATTTTTTGTGGATTTATATTTCTCTATCAAAATCATGCCCTATAATCCTTAATGGAAAGATTAGTTTGATGAAAGATAATAATAACAAGCAAAGAGAGACAGAGAAGGAAAAAAAAATAAAACTTGTTATGTCTCAGGTTCTGTATCCAGTACTTAACACAACTATCTCAAAACAAGCCTATAAGGTAGAATTTATTAATTCTCAAAACAATTCTATAAGGTCGTCTCCATCATTATGCTTATTTTTTTAGATAAGTGAACTGATTTAAAAGTCTTAGATTTAAAAACATAATATTCAGGGTCCAGAAGATGGTTATATTAAGTGTCACACTAGTGAATAAATACTTTTGTGTGTCTGCAAAGGTAATAGTCTCAACTACCATGATTTGCTACTTCTATTACAAAAAAGATGGTGGCTTTTTCCTTCAGGAATTAATATGCTCTATGAAAGAACAAGAAATACTACTCATAATACTAACAACACTATCAAGGGATGATGATATCTCTGAAGAGAATAAAATTGTACAGATTTTCATTTCCATTGAAAATTTATAACACAGGCAACAGACTACTTACCTTTTTAATTACATAGTAGGTAACTTCATGTATGTTCCTTACATTAGAATCACTTTACTTAGGCTTGCAGTTTTTAAATTTGAGTTTGCATCATGATCTGCCATAGGACTTCTTCCACAGATTACTAAGCCCTGCTCTTAAGAGTTTTTCATTCAGTAGGTATGGGTTGCAACCCTAGAATATACATTTCTATTGAATATGCATATTGAGTCCCCAGATGATGCAACTGCTGCTATTCTGGATACCACAATTCAAAAAAACTATTTTTAAAACCAGGGTTCAACAGTCTTCTATAAAGAACCAGATAATCATTTTTGGTTGTGGACCAAATGGTCTGGGTTACAACTACTCAAATTTTTCTTTGTAGTGTGAAAATATTCTATATATGCCTAAGTAAGTAGATGATGGCAGTGTTTCAATAAAATTTTATTTACAGAAATAGATATCATGTTGGATTTCATGAAAACCCACAGTTGGCCAACTATTTGCCTCCATAACTTACTATAAGATCCCTGAAACATCACTATGTTCATTTTAAATAACAACACTGTGAGAATCAACACAATGAGAATTTTAGAGATATCCACAAAAATTCCTTCTAAGTTTTTAAAATGAAGTTTGTAGAACTATACCAGGGACTAAGAAGACACTCCAAAGTTTTCCTATGATTTATGGCATTTGCTTATTGAATACCTCCAATAAAAAGAAGTAATACTTTGGTACAAGAATTTTCATGTTACAAATGCCACGAACTCTACCCTCACTTTCAAATTTTAATTTTAATTGGACATCATGTATAGTGTAAAAGATATAAATCTGCAAATTAAAAGAATATCAATGCTACATTGAATGACATAGATGTCACCTCAATAAGGTTATTTATTGACTTTCTAATAAAACAAAACAAACAAAAAAATACATCCTTGAGAAGTGTATGCTCAACTTTAATATATTCAGTCTTTGCCCACAGTAGTGTACTTTAAACTAATTTAAAATCCCAATTTAATCTTAAAAGTTTATTATACTGTATACTTCAGTGAACCTACTAAATCATCATTATCCTTAAGAAATGCAAGTTCCTGTATTAAGGCAAAGTGCAGATAATTTTTTTGTCATTTAAAGTTTTTTTTCTTAAATTTGATTAAATCAAATGTTTCCATTTGACAGAGGGATTTGTGTTTACCCTTGGGTATTTATTCTTTAGTAATACAATGGTTTTCAGAGTTTTCAGTTTTAAAAAACTGTGGTCAAATGGACACTGGAAAATGTTTATTTTAAGCACATTCTAAAAGTTTCCTTATTTCTAAGTTTCTAAAAACCATTAATATGCATGATATGTGTGTCTAAGAAAGATTTGGTAGATTGTGTAGCCTTTTCTACTTTCATCTGAACAGGGAATCCAAAGATCAGTCGAGCATCTTAAAGTACAGAGACATATTCAAGAAAAAAACAAACAAAAAAAGATCTCAATGCTTGTGTTCAGGTAGGACGTGGCTATTTGTTTTTAAAAAGCAACTCCATTCAACAAATATTTATTGAATACCTCTCCTACTTGTCTAAACATTTAAAGGTAAACCTTTAATTTCACTGTTCTACTCACCAAGATCTATCTAGAACACAGTTAATCCTATTAAACATACTTACACTCCTCTTCAGGCCTCTTCCGAAGTGCTGCACGGACCTCTTTACAAGGACTTCTCTGATATTGTGGGGGATTTCTTCCCCTTATTAGATTCTCCATCCTGTAAGAGAAAATTCAAAGTGTATTTTAATAGCAAAATCTAGATAAATCCTGGCAATTTAAATGGTATAAACAGTCACAAATTCAAGTACTTACAGAAACTTGATAACATCACTAAGAGTATCTGACAAATAATATGATGGTAGGAAATGAGAGGAACTAATGGAGAGTACACGAGTTTTCCAGGTATTTCAATTAAAAAAAAAATTAAAAACACCATGTGGACAAAACTCATGCATGTTTTCCAATTAGAGACTGTTATGGACAGAATGTTTGTGGATTTATTGAAGCCCCAACTCCCATGGTATTTGGAGGTGGGCCTTTTGGAAGGTAATCAGATTAGAGGAGGTCATGAGGGTAGCTGCTCATGATGGGATTAGGTCCACATAAGATAAGAGAGAAAAACTAGGGCATAAGCTGTTTCTACCACAGGAAGACATGGCAAGAAGGATGCCATCATCTACCAGCCTAAATGAGGACTTTCATAAGAAAATACGTCTACACACTCTTTAATTATGACATCCCCAGCCTCAAAACTGCTCGTAAAAACATGTCTATTATTTATGCCACATGATCTATGAAAATTTGTTATAGCAGCCCAACCCAACGTAAGATAACCTATTAACAAATAAGTAAATAGTTGAAGTAAACATATTTATAAGTAAGGTTATCTTTTAGAAAGAGAATATATTTCACTGACTTTTCAAACACCAATTTTCAAGAGAAGAATTATTGCTTTCTTTCCATGCTAATAAATGAAACTGAAGAGATTTCTAATTATAATAATTGACTTCTTAAAGATGAAAAATGGATAAACTATACTTCTCAGTTCTTAGCATAGTGCTGAGGATCAAAAAGGACAAATTTATCGAATGCAACTGTGGTGAGCATCTTTAAGAGCACGCACTTTGTGGTTAGCATTTTCTGTTTTCAATAAAGTTTATAGTTTTGCACCTTTAATGTGCCCTCCATTAATTTATAAAACATAAAATACCTCTATACTCAGGATTTTAACATCCATAAAAAAATTTCAAGGTATTTATTTACATTTTGAAAATATAATTATGGCTTCTTAATATCTATATAATTATACTAAATCAGGATATCATGTGTTTTGATAACTATCCTGTTTCATAGAATGTATGCCATTGCAAAACTATGGTTATTATGCATATTATGATAGAGGGTCTCCTAGGGGTACTTGTACAGAAGACTTTGTTTCTGATGTTCAGAGTGGAAATTAGGAAATGATGATATTATAAAAGTGATATTTAAAATAGTGTGAAATATGAAATAGCCTTTTGTATTAGAATCGTAACATAACACTGTATTTTGGGGAAGCTATAATTGGCACTTAAAAACACTCTTCAAAATAAAAGAAATGAAATCAATCCACTGTGCTGCTGTGTTTGTGCATGCTAATATGCCTATGACTTTGTAAAGTATAAGAAACTATAATATATAATACCTTGAATATTAGTTTCCCTTGAAGCTCATTTCAAGTGAGAAAAAGAGTTATTTCCCTTGAGATTAGGATAATACAAAAACAGGAAACCAAGTGAGAATTTGAAGACACAAATTCCTTATGTATGTATGTATGTACATATGTACACATGTATATATATATATGTGTATGTAAGTATGGATATATCTACTTATCTCCTCTGCAGTTTCATCATGAAGATTAGTTATGCCAACTAAATTATCTCAAATTTTCTAGTTTCTGACTCTTGAATTAATTCAGTGAACAATTTTGATTATATGTTTCAGCAAATGCATGAATTTCCATGATGATCTAATAACAATTTAAGCGAACTTGTAATTATTCACTAGTATTTCCAACCTCAAAATTGTAAAATACATCATATATAACCTTCACATGCAAATGTCTACATAAAATTGTGGTGTAATTTTAAACATGAATTTATTTGCCATGATTATACTCTGGTAGGGAGAGACAACTTACCCACTTGGAAATATATGTAAACCGTTCTCTTGATAGGGCTATTATTTTTTTATTTTATATCTCTGACTATCAAATATGTGAAAACAAAACTGATTTTATTTCCATGTAGCTATGGCTGAGATTAGAAAGTATTCCCAAAGACTGGGAGATTTTCACCTACATGGTTCCTGTTAACATCCAAAATTCCCCACTCAGCCTCCCAGGGATCAGTGCCCAGAGGAGGCCTGCTGGAAACACCCACAAGTGGATATCCTGGAGATTATTCCAGGTTAGCAATGCAGCATGGAGGAAATGTGAAGAGCTTAGCTCTGGAATCCCCAGGCTCAACTTCCACTCTGCCTCTTAAAGAATGATTTTAAGAAAACTTACATACTTTGTGCTTTTATTTTCTCATCAGTAAATTGAGGATAACTTTAGCAGCCTTGTAGGTGTGAGGAGTAGATGTATTTGCACAAGTAAAATGCCTTGCATTGTGGCAGTCATAATACAAGAGTTCATGTAGCTGTGATTAGTCAGATTCAACAAAAGTAATTATGAAATAATGTAGTAACATTTTACATGTCCAGTGTGTTAAAAAAAACTAACAAATGTTCTAGGTATTGTACAGAAACATGAAACATCCATGTATATGAATTGCCAGTTTTCAGAGATGAAAAAACAGTGTGTTTCGTTTTTATCTGTAAGACTTAAGGGATTACTGATAAAAATATTTAGATGGACAAAAAGTGGGCTTTTATTCCTATAGGTTAACTAAAGTGCTACATATCCTATCATTCTCAAAACTTTTAGAATATATTTCAAAATTTATAGTGACATCTCACCTTCATAAGAAAAATGAAAATATTTATAATATGTTAACATTTACAATTTATTTTAAATAATACTTTGAACAGTAATCTTAAAGATAGAGAAAATAGAGCTCAGAAATGCTCAGTGACACTCATTGCCACACACAGGATGTGAGAAGCTCAACTAAGACTTAACCTATCTTTTCTGATTTTTATTTTCTAACTGCTTTTTATTCCATTATTTCCATGAATCCATGGGTATATATTATAGTTTCATTAGGAGACTGAATTCTTGAGATTCTATTTTGTAATTTATATTTCATTATATAAAATTCTTAAGCACATTAATATTTAATACATATTATATATAAGTGCTTTTCATATAAGATGTAGTATATAAAATTAATACTATGCCCCTACTTGCTTATATGTTAATCCACTGATTACATATTGAGTTTTAATTGTTCTGTTATTATCACTGATTTGTTCATGTCTATCAATGACATTTTGAGCTTTCAAGAACTGTCAAAAAGATAAGTGGGGTGAAGAAATTCCCTTTTATGTATATTACATACTAGTAGATGAAAAAATTATAAAACATTAAAAATCCTTTTGTTCTTTAGAATGCTAAATGCTGTTCCCACTGGACAGGGAATGAATCCATTTAAAAGTTTGACAAAGCTGGCATGGTGTTGGACATCTGTAATCTCAGCAACTCAGGAGGATTGCAAATTCAAGGCCAGCCTCACAATTTAGTGAGACCCTCAGGAATAGCAAGATCCTGTCTCAAAAAATAAAAAGACCTAGGTTATAGCTTAATGGTAAAGGACTCCTAGATTCAATACCCAGTAACCAACACACACACACACACACACACACACACACACACACACACACACCTTTTTTCTGCAAACTGCTATATAACTATGTGACTTCCATTTTCTTGAGATTGCCCTCCTGGCTGCCTGAACTCTTCGACCAGTATCATACGTGATCTATGGTTAGCATTAAATGGTCAACCAAGATGAGCATGAATGAAATCTTGGAGCACAGCCAGGACAATGCAAAGGAGCTGTTCTGCTGCTCTCTAGCTTGGCAAGCCACCAGTGGGGGTGTGTTAACAGTTCCAGCAAGGAGAGATTAAGTGTGATGACCACAGGCAAGACAAATGCTCTGACAATATATTGAGGAGCTCTGAAAAGTACAGCCTACATGTCCACCACTGAGACTAAATAACAGCATGAAATAACATTCAGAGGTTATGAACAAGGTGTCCATAACCCTCTAGATAGTGTTACCCCAATTTAGTTTAAGTCTCACAATCACCCGAGAAGCTTTAAGCAAATCCCAATGCCCCATTCCCAGAACTAAAGATTTTAATTCAGTCAGCTAAAGCCAAGACTTGATTGATGTATTTTTTTTTTACATTAATCAGGTCCTCCTAAAGTATCTGGTCTTATACTTGTCCAGACACTGGCATTTAGGATCCCTTGAAAATAGAAAATACACACTTAGATATGTAGAGGAGGCAAGTTCAACAGATTCACTGAGATGATAAAGTTCTCCAGTGATACAGAGGTGGAGTAAGAGCCTGGAGAGGGTCTGCAGTTACAACAGGCACATAAAAAAATGAAAGGAGGAATGAAAAAGATACAATCAAAGCCTTGACAGGTTGCCTGGTGGTCAACCAGAGAAACCTGGAGACTGTTCATTTACAAGGCTGATAATATCAATAGTGAAATGATTAACAGATTCTGACAGATCAGAAAGCAAGTTAGGATTGATCTGGAATGGTGGATTGGGATGGGTTTGTGGCTGGTGAATAAAGATCTGTTTGAAAGGGATTTATACCAGATGAAAGAGGAAAATAGGGAATGACTAATTCAATGGAGGATGAGGGAGTGGGGTTAAGAGAATAAAACTATTAGGAAGAAGTTTTAAAAAACACCTTTCATTCCATGTTAGGTTCTTTATGTAATACATTTTCTTTTTTTTCAACTATTTATTTTTTAGTTGTAGTTGTACACAATGCCTTTTATTTTATTTATTTATTTTTATGTGGTGCCAAGGATCGAATCCAGGGCCTCCCACGTGCGAGGCAAGCACCCTACCACTGAGCCACAACCCCAGCCCATGATTTTCTATGTCATCATAATTTTATCTCTAATTAATCCAAGTCTCAGAGATGGTAGGTGATTTGCTTGGGATCATATAGGGAGTGTGTACAAGTCAGGATTTAAATCCAAT